TACGCCAAAAGGCCCGCCAGCCAGCATGTGCCTGAATGTCATGAGATCATTTGGTGTGGAAGTCATCCAACTTGGGAGCCAAGATGAGTGATCCCCAAAGAGCCGATCCTGCATATTGAAAGATATGAACCCACACTATAACCAAGGTCCAGTAACCAACAAGTTTAAACAGTGAATCCGTTATGGACTGACTTGTTTGGTTACCCGAGGTAAGTCTGAAACTAAGCTCTGATATTCTGAAAATGAAGTCTTAAGAAAGCTATGGACTTAGAGATATAGAAAAGTTTTTTACGTTCTGCAGTCCACTCCCTTCTCTGATATTCAAAGACAAGGCAAATAGCTTGGGTTTTCATTTAAGTACATTATAAATCCTTCTGTCTTAATTTGGCAAGTGAGCCATTTCAATGCTTCTGACATCTCTCACCAAATCTAGGAATTCCCATATTCTTTCCACTTCCTCCTTCAACAATTACCTGGATTCTCATTTATGCTTTGGAATGGTTGGTTGCCTCAATCCGTTAAACTCCGGTAGGTGGACCTACGACCGACCGGCACCGAGTTTTGCTCTGACCCCATCTACATCTGACCTGGGGCACGGGCAGAGGATGCGGGGAGGCAGAAGCTCACCAGAAATCCGGTTTTGCCACTGCCGCCCCGGCTGTGACAACACTATGCTCCCGGCCCCGGCCTCACACCCACACCACCCCGCTTTCTGCTCCCACACCCATCTCGTGTGTGGAACCTCAGCCCCCGTTCTTACGTCACCAGCCCTGCTTCTTCCTTCCATCTGCATTACCTTCAGACGGTTTTGCCTCCAATACCCATTTTCGGAAGAGCCTGCTCCTGGGTTCAAAGGTCTAACCACTGACTCTTCAAATTAATCTACACAGACCCCAACTTTATTATCCTCCCCCACCCCCTGTAAAGCCCTATTACAATACCTGACTTTCAACCACTGTAATGAAGGCAGTATAACAAAGCTCTGGATAGTTCACTAACTATGTAATATAATTTCGCCTCTTGGGACTCAGCTGTTTTCCTGTGTATAAAACTTGAGGGTTAAAAGAGGAGGCCTTCATAGAAGAAGAAAACTAACACTTACTGGACACTCGGTATGGGCCAAGTGGACCCTCTGCAAGTATCTAGGCAGTCCTCTTAACCGTGAGGGAGGGAAGGATCTATCACTTCTGTTCTCCAGATAAGGAATGTGAAGGTCAGAAAAGTCAGGGGAACTTGTCCAAAGCTGTCTTCCTGGTCTAAGCAGAGGAGCGAGGTCCAGCCTCTGCCAAATCCGCTCACTTCTCTGGTCCCTTGTAGCTGCATCACGCTCTCCTATGTCCCTAAGCTGCGACCACCATGGTCTGGGCCCCTGACTAGCCCCGAAGGGTTTCCAGTCACTGCGGTTAAGGTCATCTTCACCCGGGGGACACGGGCATCTCAATCTCGGCCAACAGACAGAGACCAGCTGAAACCGGGACACGTGTGAATCACTTGTGAAAGTGAGTAAAGGCTACACGGGCACAGAAACACTCGCTTCCCCCCACAGCTTGGAGTTACCGAGCAGAAGCAAAAGAATTCCGTGGAAGATGGAACTCCTCCCTGACACGCAGGGAAAGGCAGGCCTTCGGGTCACACTGCTGACACACGGTGTCAGCTGCCACCACAAACGCACAGGCTCGGCCCTCAACATAGGGTCTGGATCACACCGTGTGTGAAACTGAAGAGACACTTGTTGGACTCAGTTTCAAACTTCAGCTTCTCTGTCCCGTTCTACAGCTTATGTCCTCACTGCTTTTCTTACATGGGGCACAGCATGGTGCTAACGTCCTCTTTATCACCCTTTTTATTTATTTATTTATTTACTTACTTACTTACTTTTATTTATTTTAGTTCATCCAATTTCTTTAACAGGAAGGTAAATACTACCATAGCAAAATATTTTTTTCTTCACAAAGTAGCTTAGAGAACTATAAATGGGATGTTACTTTCACTTTTATTCATTTGTTTTTCTTGTCAAAAGGCTGACAATTTAATTATTCCCACTTTTATGCAGTTCCCCAAGACAATAAATGACTATTTTCCTTCACAGAGGACACCCTCTACATGTCCACAAAATCAGAATCTGTTTCTCCAGTGTCACCCTGACTTCTAGAAGGAAATGTTGGAAGCTGTAACTTCTCAAGAACCTCCGGGCCACAGCTTTAAGAAGGTGTAGCTTGGAATCAGCCAGTGTGGGTGGTTATCAGATGCAGCAGAACCAAAAAGTGCAGACTCCTCATTTTAACACCCATGGAAGGTTTATGGGAAGAGGCGGGTGGAAATCTGGAGGCGAAATGGGGGAAGGGCGGGAGACCAGGGTGTGGACTGGCAAATGGCACTTGTTTTCAAAGGAACAAAGGAACAAAACAACAGTATTTTATTCTGACGATCAGTTCCTACATCAGTGCCGGATACACAGGCTCCTGGTGAATACTTAATGAAATGAATTAAGTGCTTCTTTCTGCCACAGAACTCCTTATGACCACACTACCTACAGGAAAGCACCTGTCGTTATGGAGCATCAGAACTCAAAGCTTGTCTTTATTTCAGTATTTTAAGTTTTCTTTTTAGAAATGAAAAGCAGGGGAGCCTGGGTGGCTCAGTCGGTTACGCGTCCGACTTTGGCTCGGGTCATGATCTCCT